GAATTATGGTTCTCTGGATTCCATTAAACCGTCAGAACTTATTTTAGAGAAGGACCGAAATGTTACTGATGCTACAATTGTGTCAGAGATTGACCGCACCATGAAGAAGCATGTCGATAGTTTACTCCATGTGTTGGAAGGTGTTAGTGAGAAACTAACACAACTAGAGAGCAGAACCCGCCACCTTGAAAATTCTGTAGATGATGTGAAGATATCTGTGGGAAACAATCATGGGAACACTGATGGAAAGATGAGACAGTTGGAGAATGTTCTTAGAGATGTATGTTGCCTCTTTGCCCTTCTTTTTGGTGTGAACTTGACATCTTGCCTTGCATTTGGTATTTTAGCAATCAGATATCTTCTGTTCAACTGGAAATCTTATAAATACCATTGGCAGCATGAGCAAAAGATGCAGGAACACCATTAGTTATTTCCTTTTCTCTATTTGTTACAGTATCTCTCCTTGTGATTCCAGAACTATGTAGAGTGTGAAGGCAGGGTTACGCATTGCACATGCTTTCACCAAATCTGAAAAGCTTAAAATCTTCAATCTTCTAGACATTTAAATTGTGTTGGGTGGGGTAGAATTTTACCCCTAAAAGATGACTCCATTAATGAATGTCTTAGAGCAAGGTGTTGTCAATAAGGTCACTTGCCTGTTTGTGAAGGTGCAAAAAAGCACTAAGTTTATTAAGCATGAAAAACTGACATTTGTTTATTAGCATACTAACATATGTGTTTATGCTACTCTTTTCTTTATTCTGCTAATTTGGTTATTCCTTTTCTCTGGTTCATTTGGTTATTGTCAATATCACGCACAGGTGCAAACAGGTATTCAGGTATTGAAGGATAAACAAGCAATAGTAGAGGCCCAGCTCCAGCTTGGGAAGACGCAGGTATCAAATTCCAAGGTAGACACTCAATCGCAAGTTTCTGGGCAGACAGCAGTGTCTGAATCTACGCAAGCTCACCAACAGCTTCCTCACCCTGTGACTCTTCCATCTTCACTTCCTGCTGTCTCTCCACCAAATGCTCCTCCCCAACCTATGTTCCAAAGTGTACAACCTTCAGTTCAGCCTCCAAATCAGTTTTCTCAGAACCAGATGCCTCCTGTCCCTCAGCGAGACCCTTATTTTCCAGCACCTGGTCAAACTCAAGAAGCCCCAAATCAGCAATACCAGTTACCTCCAAGTCAGCAGTCACTCCCCCCTCCTACAGCAGCACCACATCAACAATTTCAACCTACCACTCAACCACAGCATTCTCAGCCACCACCTCAGCTGCCTCAACAGCACCCTTCACTTGCACCTGTTAATCCCTCTCAACTCCGGCCTACATTAGGCCACCATGCGGAAGAGACACCTTATGTTCCTTCCCTAAGCTACCCACCCAATCTTCCCCAGCCACCTTATCAGACACCCAGTGGGCTCCCTCCCTCCCAACAGTATTATGGTCCAGGTTCCCATTCCTATGAACCACCATCTGGCAAATCCAGTACAGGATTTTCTTCTGGTTATGGTCCTCCATCTGCGCTAGGTGAGACATATCATTATGGTGGATCACTTCAAGATGGCAGTTCCTCAATGAAACCACGAATCCCTTCTTCTGCTGCAGCTCACAGTGGAGGAATTGGTTACCCACAGCTCCCAGTTGCTCGAGTGTTGCCTCATGCATCGCCTACCTCTTCTAGGGTGGGTGGTTCTTCAGGTTCAGCTGGGACCAGAAACAAGGTTCCCATTGATGATGTGATTGATCATGTGACAACTATGGGTTTTCCAAGAGACCATGTTAGGGCAACAATTCGGAAGCTGACAGACAATGGCCAAGCAGTTGATGTGAATGTGGTGCTAGATAAGCTGATGAATGATGGGGAAGTCCAGCCGCCTAGAGGTTGGTTTGGCCGGTAGTACAGTGTGCTTGGTTCAGACTTCTGTACAGGAAGTATTACTTGTTTCTACATCCTCTTTTCTGTGGACATACATCTCTGTGAATTTAGTTGGTAAGCCCCTTCACGTGTTTTGCGCTTTGCTTGTACTGTCCTTCTGAAGGATCTACATTCCCTGCGCTTGTTTTGAACCTGTTTTCTTGTTTGCCCAGCTCCCGTTAGTGATTACATCTCTTCATCTCACTGTGTATTGACTCATAATAATCGAAATTTGATTGCTGAGTTGCCTCTTGTGTTCCTGTTTTTTTTTTCTTTGGGTACGTAGTTGTATGATCCCTTTTCCTTCAATATCTCTTTTCTTCTTCTTTTTTGTTTGTTTTATTTTTATAAATGGTCTAGAACTCCAAAAATTAGAACGCCGAATTAGAAACAAAACTTGGATACTATCAAAACGCCAACGAAAAATTATATTTGTAAAGCAGACAGAGTACTCCTGTTGATGTGGAAAATAAACCGCAATAATTTCAACGCCAAAAATTATATTTATGCAATTGTTACCAATTCAAATATAAGACCCAGCACCACCAAAAGTATTCTAACATCTACATAAATCAAGTGGACATGCTATAAGTTACTTGATGAGTCAGATTTGTAATTTTATTCTTCCTAAAATACCCTTATTAATTTATTATAGCATGATATAGTGGAGGAGGAGACGTTTTTGTTGTTTTTTCAATAATGCTACGACACCAACTTATTTACTAACTTTTTAATACCAACACATGTGGAACATAATATGGCAGCCACGTCATTTACCACATTATCTTTTCTTAATCACTCAAGGTTTAAGTTCATATAATTAAGGATAAATATTGTTGTTATCATCTCTCGAAACTTTGAAGGGCAGGGTGCTTGCAAATTATTTTCTTCATCCAGTTTTTTACAAAATGGGTGGTGGAATATTGAAAAACTCGGGACTGTGGTGTCTGAGGACCTAGTGCAAAGGATCATCTCTTATCCTATTGGTTGCGATAGCGACACTCAGGATGACCAGATTTGGAGCTCCACTGCGAATGGTGAGTTTACTGTCACATCTGCTTACAGTTTGCATTTCTCTGATCTTGGCGAGGTTGACCATCCTTGGAATACTCTGTGGAAAATGAAGATTCCCCCTAAATTGAAGTTCTTCTGCTGGCTTATGTATCAAGGTAAGTTGATGTCCAATGAGCAAAGAATGAGACGTCAGCTAACTGGGGATCCGGCTTGTAAAGCTTGTGACTGGCACACTGAGTCTATTATTCATATCCTCAGGGACTGCCCACGAGCTAGAGAGATTTGGAGGACTATTTTGACTACTAAAGCTCCCCCCCATTTTTTCAGATCTGATTTTAAACCTTGGCTTCTGAGCAATCTTTTTTCTTCAGCCAAGGAGAGTGGCAACTTAAACTGGAACACTACCTTTATGTACACCTGTTGGTATATTTGGAAATGGCGGAATCAATTGGCTTTCAACAACCAAGAGGATCGTCCTTATAATCCAAGACAAATAATTCTCTCTGCTGCTAAAGACTGGGTTAAAGCCTCCCTTGCTGCTGTGTGTAAGGTGGATAAGGTGCACTCTTTCATCTCCTGGAAACCCCCTGGCCCTGCTCAGTTTAAACTTAATGTTGATGGATCAAGACGCACCTCCTCTGGTTGTATTGGCGCTGGGGGTGTGATTCGCAATGCTTCTGGTAATTGGATTGGTGGTTTTTCTGTGAACCTTGGCCAGGGCCATATTTTGGATGCTGAAATCTGGGGGTTATATTTTGGACTTAAGCTTGCCATGACTAAAGGTATAACCTGCCTTAATATTGAAATGGATGCTGCTGTGGTCGTCCATCTAGTGAAGAATATTGATGGATTGACTCATCACCCCTTTGCTCCCCTAATTAATGCTTGTTGTGCTCTCATGAAACAGCTTGATAACTGCACTCTCCTTCATATTTATAGAGAAGGAAATAGTGTGGCTAACGAATTGGCAAACTGGAGTTACAACTTAGACCTGGGCATCCTCTATTTTGACGAAGCTCCTCGTTGGATTGGCTCTCTTCTCCTTGATGATATCACTGGTGTAGCGAAAGCTAGATTAGTTTGTCCTGTTTCCTTGTAGTTGTTGTGTTCGGGGTTTTTTCCCCTCTAGTTTACCAAAAAAAAAAAATTAGCGCTTTGTCATCCCTTCTTCTACACCATGAGGGCTCTCCAGCAGCGGCATCTCCCTCAACCACTCCATCGCTAATGACACGTTAAACTAACGCAAGCGAACTTTAAGTTTCATTGCGTCCGCTGTCTGGAGGACGATTACCAAATGCTTCTTGGTGTTCACAAACCTTTTTACTGTCTACCACAACGGTTTTTGGCATAGATCTGGCTTCCTCGTTGCATCTTGCATTCCAAACTTCTTGGTTAGCAGCAATTACGCAGGTTTGCCTTCACAATTTTTTTCATATTATCCAATGGGTGGACAACGATAATTTTTCTTTCACATTTTTTTCATGTGTTATTTTCTATTGGTTTTTGTTTTTGTTTTTGTTTACAGTTTTGCTCTGTTTTTTAGCTTGCTTTTCTTGATTTCTTTTGTTATTTTTCAGCATTTCTAGAGTTTTTTTTTTTTTTTTTAAATGTTTGTATTTGTTTATGTGCCTAAGGACTCGTTTGATACGTCGGACTGTACTAATTAATTTACGTTGGATAGTATTAATCCATTCCGGAGAGTAGGAACTAATTTAAGGCGTTTGATACTGTTCCAAATAAATAGTCTAACCAAGTTATTATGTATTTGGTGTTCCATCAGATAACAACTGATCAAACTATTTTTTTAAATTCTTTGATAATTTAAATTGAAATTGAAATTCAGATGACACAATGGCAAGATTTATACGGCAAGTTTTTTCTTCTCTTTTGAGTTTGACAGTAAGAGTCAAGACGACAATAGAGCTTGTCACCAGGCTGCGCAACCAGTCTCATTGCAATTTCCCTTTAGAACGTTATAATGACACATCTTAAAGCAGGTTGGTTGGTGCTTCAATAACTTGAATGCGAGGGGAGATGAGATTTGATAGGGGAAATTTGCCACGCATAGAAACTTTTTGTTTGATGACCTATATAAAAGAACCAAAATCAATTCAGATGAGATATGTTAGCAATCCTTTTGTTTAGTATAATTAGTTCCCTTTTTTCCATACTACTACTCAAACACATCATAACCTGAACTAAAATCCTCATTGACAACAGAATCAGCATCTTTCATTAGCTCAGTTAATCCATCCAACAGAAGGTAAATGTCATTTCTCAGCTCATTTGTTGTGTCCCCCACCAAAAACAGGGAGAATCCATCGCCCACATCAACCCAAGCACAGCCAGGAGCCTTCCTCACACCCAAGTCCCTCATGAAAGTCCTCACTCTCGCTAGCTTGTTCCAACAACCAGCAGCAGCATACATGTTAGCGATTAACACATAGTAACCAGAATTTTCAGGTCTCATTTCCAACAGCTTCTCGGCTGCCCATTCCCCTATATCTATATTTCCATGGATCCGACAAGCTCCAAGAAGAGTAGCCCACATTGCAGAAGTTGGCCTATAAGGCATCCTTGTGATAATCTCCTTTGCTTTGTTTAATAGACCAGCCCTCCCGTAAAGATCAACCATGCAAGCATAGTGCTCCAAACGGGGAGTTATACCATATACACTCATCATCTTTTCAAAAAGCATTTGGCCTTGGATTACAAGACGAGAATGGCTACAAGCTGATAAAATTGAAACCATGGTTACATGATCAGGTTTGATGTGTAACATGTTCATCTCTTCAAATAACTTCAATGCAGCTTTTCCCTCACCCTGGACTCCATATCCTGCAATCATTGAAGTATAAGTTACTTCATCTCGCTTAGACATAGAATCAAATACTCGTTTAGCTTCTAAAATTTTGCCTGATCTGGCATACATGTCCACAAGAGCATTCCACAGAAGTAAATAATCATCAAACACTACACGTTTTGTGATGTAGCAGTGGAACTCCTTCCCATGTTGAAGATTCGCTACCCGAGCACAGAGGGGAAGGATGCTGGCAATTGTAATGTAATTAGGTTCAATTCCAGAACACAACATCTCCCTAAATAAGAATGAAGCTTCCTCAGCTCGGTCCATGCGGGAATAACCAGAAAGCATGGAGTTCCAAGTAATTATACTTCTATCTTCTATCAATTGAAACAAAGCATAGGCTTGCCTAAGGTCTTTGCACCTGGAATACATTGTAATTAATGCATGTTTAACATTATCATAGCCATCCCAACAACTACGAATTGCAGAACCATGAATCTCCTTCCCTAACTTAATGACTCCAATGTGGGAACAAGCACTCAAACCAATAATCAATGCTACCGAGTCCAATAAAATACCACAGATTCTCATTTGAGAAAGCAACTCAAGTGCACCCTTGAAATTGCCTGTCCTCAAGCACCCTCCAGCTATGGTATTCCAAGTTAAGATATCAACTCCAAGACCCTCCATCCGCATGCTTCCAAACAGCTCGAATGCTTCCGTCCACATGCCCTTGGAGGCATAACCAGATATCATTGCATTCCAAGAGATCTCATCCCTTGTGGGCATTTTGTCAAACAAGTGACGAGCAACATCCACAAGCCCAAATCTCCCATACATGGAGACCAATGAATTATGCACAAATAAATTCCAATCCTGACAACTAGCATTGATGGACTTATGCACCTCCCTCCCAAACCCTATATCCAATTTTTCACCACATGCCTTGAGAACAGATGGGTAAGTGAAACAATCTGGTCTAACCCCCTTATTGACCATTTGTTTATACGTAGAGAGAGCCTCATCCAAAAGTTCATTTTTAACATATGAAGAGATGAGCACATTCCAAGGTAGAGGATGCAAGATATTTGAATTCTCAATGACAATATGAGCATCAACATGGAAATTAAAGCTTGAGTAAAAAGTAACCAGCTTGGAAACCAAATTGGGGTGTCGCTCAAAACCCAATCTGACAATATGTGCATGAAGCTGTTCACCCTGTGGGAAAGATTTATGGTTGGCGCAAGACAAAAGAAGAGAAGAGATGGGATGCAAGATAAGGTCACAAGAAGTGGCAGAAGAGCCATGGAGCTTGAGAAGAGAGAAAGCTTTGAATGCTCTGGATAAATTACCCTCGCTTGCATAGTTCTTAATGGATATAAGAAGAGAATCTATCATAGAATCATCAACTGCTGAACCTGTTTCGAAAATAGACAGTGCTAACGGTTTCTCAAATTGGGTGGTGCCTCGTTTCCAGCTTTTAGGTATGAAGCGTTGGATTTGGGATAGAGAAAGGCCCCTTGGGATGAAACGAGAAGACGACGATGGCATACACTGGAGAAGTATCTGCTGTATGTAATATCATGGTAGGCAAGAACTGATCGCATGGCTTGCCCAAATTTGCAGCATGTGCCTCCGGAATATGGATTAATGCCCCTTCAAATTTCAAAGAGGTGTCTTCATTTAGTAATTTGGGGAAAATGAGAGAGTAGTATAGCACAAGCCCAAACTTAAGACAACAGTGTTGGTTTGAACAAAACCTAACCCTGACAGTATAATCAAATCCCACATTATACCCCACAAGTTAAACTGACCCTCTTGTCCCCTTGACCGATGTTTTGGGCTTACATCTATGGTTCGCTTTGAAGAAACCAATCCAAGTAACAGCTAAATAAGTTGTATGCAGCTAGAATCCAAAAGCTGCCCCAATCTGCAGCATCAAAATGGAAAATGCAGATACTTTTAGGAATTGAATAACAAAGAATATTTGAAGAAAAAAAGCATACCCATAATCTGGAAAATTATTAAACTACCACAATAAACAACTATACTTACGTCCTCAATCTATACAAACTATATTAAAACTCATTCAGATGACCTATTAGATTCTGACTTGGATTGTGTTTAACTGACTTATTAGCTTCTGTTTAAATGAAGTAAACAGTAGAGAACTGAATTGTGGGTAAGGAGAGAAAATGAAGGAAACAGGAAAAGAAAGAAAAAAAAAAAAAGAGAGGTTGACCTATTAGATGTTATCTGTAGCAACCCACTCCAAACGTTTTATGTCAACTGATGGAACTCACCTTCTTCAATACCTTATATTCTCAGCTTATTCAGATTTTCCAGATTGTGAAAGGCAATTCAACCCCAACAGTGAATTCTCAAAATGCATTTCCATGATGAAGTGGCTAACAATGTATGTAAGAATTCCAGATGAGAACAATAATTTGCAAATTAAAATGTGAAGGATAAAGTGTGAACTGAGCAATAAATATTAATACGCAGAGATTACAAATAATGCACAGGCGTTTCAATAAAATACAAAACAAATTAGGAGAATTTTCTATGAGAAAATAGAACTATATGGAAACCATTGTATCAGAAAACTGAAAGAAGAACCAATTTGTTTCTAACTAAGATTTACTGTATCATCTGTTACATTTTGGTGACTAAAATTTTGAAAGGAAAAAAGAAAAAAGAAACCTTTGAAACTTCGTTATTTAAAGCCAAAATTCCAGCACATTGTCCCAACAATACAATAACCAGCTGCCATTGATAATGCAAGTTCGTACTAGTAAGCAATTCATCACACAAGGACTGAGCAACACAATTGCAATTTTCAATTTGGAGATCAACAGCAGTAGGCATAGCTGGGGTCTTAAGCCGACTAAAAAAGCAATGGTAGTGGTGACAATCTTGTTTAGCATAAGCCATAGGTAAAAACTCATTATGAAGAAACAAATTGGACCACTAACTAACAAAAGGATTACTAGAAGGAGAAAGAAAAAGTCCATTAAGCAGGAAATTATTTCAGAGGATAAACAAAAGTCTAAACAACGGACACTCCAACATGATAAAACCCAAGAATCAACAACATATAAAACAAAAGTCACAGAATTACATCATTGAAAGAAAAAAAAGATTCATTCGCCTAAAAAGAAATAGCATTTACCTACCCCTGTGATGGTCTCGATGGAGGGAATCAGAAAACTTAGAGAATTGGGTTGCGATACAGCTCTGATTACAGGAGGTTTTGTGCGATTTTGGGTGAAACAGAAGCAGACTCGGCGAGGTTGAGTGTTTTGGGAGAAATAGACAGGGGAAGAGGAAGGAGGTCGGCTCAATGATGGGGATTGGAGTCAGTGCTGGTAGGGCACCATGGAGTTCTGAGCAGAGTGAGACGGGAGCGACAGCCCGCCAAAAGAGGGAGAGTCGTATGATTTTCTTTGGGCTTTTGGTCTTGTTGCTATTGGACCAAGTAATAGAAAGCATCTAGTCCAGGCCCTTGGTGTGCTCCAAGTGGTCATGACTCATGGGTCCCATGATACCTTAAATTAAACTCCTAGCCTCTCCCAGGAAAACGAGCCATTCTTCAAGTTTTGCCGCCAAACTGTCTCGTTCTCCAAGGGTTTATTGATTCACATTCTCTCTCCCCAGCCAGCCCATTTCCCTTCATAGCTCTCCAATGACCTCAACCAATCCTCACCATATCATCGACGACGACGAGGATGATGATTTTGATTGGGAAGCAGCTGCTAGAGCAATCGACGTTGTTTATCAGACCCAGGCCTCAAAGCCCTCTACTTCACTCCCAGACCAATCTTCCCATTTTGCCCCTCCTCCCAATAACCCCCCAATACAAAATTCAGTCGCCTCAATCTCTGAGAACATGAAGAAGCCTGGTTCTTCACGGCAGACCACCCTCGACAAGTTTATTGGGAGGGCTTGCCCCAGGCCTCAGCCGGAGAGTCGAGATGTGGAAGAACACAACCGGGATTGTAATGAGGGTGATGGCAGAGTGTCCTCTGTTCAAATTGATACCGAGGCAGCTAAAACTTGGATGTACCCAGGTTAAATTCTCGTTCTCTTTGTAATTTTCTTTTAGGTACTGTGTGAAAGTTAGTATTTTGGGTTTTGAGGAGGTGGGTAAGCTGGTTTTTAATTATTATTATTTATTATTTGAATAGGTTTTGGAGAATGAAGTTGAAATTTGATTCTTTGGTGTAGTTTAGTTGAATGAACCAAATAGCTTATTTCTCCGAATGCTAGATTTTTAATGACATTTCCATCAAGTAAAAATTTTGTCAAATGGGTTATGTTATTGAACTAATGTGGGTTCAAATGCATGGGACATTTTAGGGTGGATGTGAGTGTTTGTGTCCAGATTGAGATTTTGATTGTTTCCTCTAGACTTTGGTGGTGTTATCGATGATACAAATTGAAATGTTGCCACCATATTGCTAATTTTAAAAGTTTCATTTTCTCCAAATTAATAGATATCTATTGCTCCTTGAAATCCGAACTCATAATGGCTCTTTGAGTCTGACTTATGAACTCACCTTTTTTATATTAATGTGTGCGGAGGGTCATCTTTTGACTCCTTTTTTCTGTTTGGAGTTTATTTTATTGTAGCAAACATTAAACTTATTTTCTAGTCTTATTTGTAACAATGCAGTTAATTTTCCTCGGCGTGACTATCAATTTTCTATTACCAAGACGGCACTATTTTCAAATACATTGGTGGTAGTGCCAACTGGACTTGGGAAAACACTTATTGCCGCAGTAGTTATGTATAACTATTTCAGATGGTTCCCTGATGGTAATGTAATTCGTACTTCTTAACTAATGCTTAGTTGGTTCACATGCTACATGAGAATCACTATTGCAGAAATCTAATATGGTCGTCATGAGTTATAAAGTGTTTATTGTTTCCAATTGCTTTAAATTGGAGATGTTTGTTAAATCTTTCTACTCATTTTAAGAAATAAATTGTATGTTTTTATCAGATCTGATAGTTTTCTTTGTATAGTTTGATGATCAACTTGAGAAATACATGTTTATGCATGAGTTTCGAGCTGAAATTGTTTGATTGATTCTTTTCTGTTTCTTTCTCTGGTTCACTTGAACTGTTATATTATTGTTGTGTTTATCTTGATATACATTGTTGGTCCAGTTTCCTATCAATTTAAGTTTTTGGGATCAATGTGAACTTAACATGGAATCAGAGGTTTAGTTGCCTGTCTGATCCTACCACATAAGACTGAATTTTGTGTTAGCGGCTGTCACATTAGAACTTAGCTACAATGGGATTGATCCCCCATCCAGGTTATTCCATTGTTTACTTGCTCCAATGAAATTAAAGTTGATTTTTCAGGAATGAGATTCTTGATCTTGGGAAGGAAATGTGTCCATCAGGAATTATTTTGTTTCCAAAATGACCCTAACTTTTTTTTTTTTTCATAACACCAAAAATTGCCATATAATCTTACACTGAAAATACAGAAAAACAACCTAAAATACTCCTCTATGCCTACAGAAAAGGCCCATTCACCTTTTATCCAACATTTTATGTGTATTTTAAAATAAGTAATGTTCAGATAATTTGAACATCGAATTTGTAGTTGTCTTGTCACCCCACCAAAATTAAGATAATTGCAAGAGGAAAAACAAATCACTGAAATAGAGGCATAAGTTTTTTGGTGGGAGGAAGAAGGGTATGGTTCTGCGAAGATGTGAGGTGAAGAGATGCATTATTTGTTGCCAGGGGTTTGCTTTTGGGCATCTCTGTGGGCTTCAATCTTTTCCGAGTTTAGGGATACTTCTTACTCTGCAAAACTGGAATGCTGCTATTTATTTGTGTCTTTTGCTTCTTTGTTGGTTTAATGCTGTTTTCATTTGGCTTGCTGATGTTATCCTGAGTTCTCTCTCTTGCTCCTGTGGACATCTTGTGCATTGTTTTGTACCATTCTCTATTCTTAATGAAATTTGTTTCCTTTTTTTTTTTTTAAAAGAATAGTCCAGTTTTCGGCGTTGTGGGTTTCTCGAGTTTATTTTTGAAAGTTGTGAAACATTGACATTGTTCTTTCCACAACAGGAAAGATAGTCTTTGCTGCTCCTTCTCGACCTCTTGTTGTGCAACAGATACAAGCATGCCATAATATCGTAGGAATATCACAAGTGAGAACCTCTTTTATTATAAGCAGAGTTTTGTTGTATATTTGGTGTTTACTCGACAACTTTATTTACTTACATATTGTGAGAAGATTATGATCAAACCGATTGCAGGAATGGACAATTGACATGACAGGTCAGATAAGTCCTACAAAAAGAGCATGCTTGTGGAAAACTAAACGAGTTTTCTTTGTTACTCCCCAAGTGCTGGAGAAGGACATTCAGTCTGGTGATTAATTCTTGAACTATACACTAGGATTTTCTCAATGACAAGGGGTGGATTTTGATATGTATATATATGTATCTATATTTCATTCATTATATTGTAAACCCTGCATCAGAAGGTGTTTCCTATGTGCAATAAGGCACTAGAGTTGAGGGAATGGCTGTACAAATTTGGTATAAGTTTCAGCACTGTTAAGAGTACCCACTTTTGAAGATGGGTAACTCCTATGTAATGCATAACTTTTTAGCTCAAAGAAGCACTTCACAGTCTCTGCATAAACACCTAAAGCTTAATCCTCTGTAAGTTTGATAGGTTCTGAATTAAAGAGCTTCCTATCCCCTTATATACGTATAGAACGACCAAATTAAATAGTAATTGCTTTTATTTAATATTTTCCCATTAGAAAGTAAGTATATTCCACCACCAGTTTTTATGCATGATATATTTTCTTCTTTTTGAGAAAGATACTTTGTCAATGGATTTTTCTCAGAGGTAATTCGTTGTAGGCACATGCTCAATCGAATACTTGGTATGTTTGGTGATTGATGAAGCTCACAGAGCATTGGGAAACTATTCTTACAGTGTTGCAGTTCGTGAGGTCAGTTCTCTTTCTTTCAGTTATATCTAAACTAATATATTTCCCCATTTACCAGTTCAGATGAGTTTTATTTTTATTTTTATCGTTATTATTATTATTCTTGTAGTTCTACCTTGATAAATGTTGGTTCAGTGTGTTATTTGTGGGTAAAGTTGGTCTTTTGAAATACTAACGATAATTTAGTTCTTTAGTTAATGGCTGCACAAGTGCAACTGAGAATTTTAGCTCTGAGTGCAACACCGGGATGTAAGTTTCTAATATACTGGGTTTCTACTAAGTTTCATTTTAAAAGTTAGATCCTTAGTAACATGCAATCATACAGCAAAGCAGCAGGCTGTCCAGCAAGTTATTGATAACTTATATATATCAACACTTGAATATCGCAATGAAGATGACGGTGATGTCAAAAAATATGTTCACAACAGGGAGGTTGAGTTGATTCAGGTATGTATTGTAGTCTCTTGTTTCCAGAACTAATTTTTGGTACACAGGAAAGAATTTTTTTTTTTTGGGGGTCTGAAAACAGAGGAAAAAAACTTTTGTTGCAATTATTCTAGGTCGCAATGGGTCAAGAAGCTGTTGAGATAGACAATAAGCTCGTGGAAGCAATGCGACCATTTGCAACCAGGCTTTGTGCAATTGGAGTTCTCCCAACTAGAGATGTTCAGACTGTATGATTTCAGAATAATTTAAATTCTAATTTCCTCTAGGAGAACTGTGCTGGACAAGATTGTTTCTTTGCATTTTAATTCTGTTCTGGGCCCTGCTATAGCAGACATTATAACAATCAGGGTGGTGGTCGGTTTCTCTAGCAATGTCTGGTCTTGTTCCCTTAGTGATGATGAAGTTTGCTAAAATGTATCTTTTCACTTATTATGCAAGGCTATGATACTGCTAGCCTAGCCTATTATACAAGTTTTCTCTGGTTTCGGTTTGTTATGTAGATAGCTTTGGAAAATATTCACTGGTTTTAAAGAAGCTGTACCTCAGATACTCCTCTAGTTTAAGGAACAGAAAAGGCTCTCTTTAATTATCATCGTTTTTTTAATTATTAATGGGATTTACTATCTTATCTTTATATATATATATATATATATATATATATATATATATATATATATATATATATATATATATATATATATATATATATATATATATATATATATATATATATATATATATATATATATATATATATATATATATATATATATATATATATATATATATATATATATATATATATATATATATATATATATATATATATATATATATATATATATATATATATATATATATATATATATATATATATATATATATATATATATATATATATATATATATATATATATATATATATATATATATATATATATATATATATATATATATATATATATATATATATATATATATATATATATATATATATATATATATATATATATATATATATATATATATATATATATATATATATATATATATATATATATATATATATATATATATATATATATATATATATATATATATATATATATATATATATATATATATATATATATATATATATATATATATATATATATATATATATATATATATATATATATATATATATATATATATTGTGGTTAATTATTAATGATGCAATCACATTCTTTTTGGGTCTACATAATTTCACTCTTTCTTTTTTGTTTTTGATTTTTTGGTGGTGGGGGCGGAATTCTTACAGTTGAGCCCGTGTTATTTACTTGATTCAAGGGAGAAATTTCGTCAAGCACCTCCAGACCTCCCCCAAATTAAGTCTGGAGACATTGAAGGTTATTTTGGAGCACTCCTTACGCTTTACCACATTCGTAAGCTAATATCAAGCCATGGAATAAGGCCAGCATATGAAATGCTTGAAGAAAAATTAAAACAAGGGTATATTCTTGTCTCCTCAACATCAAGCCCCTCATCTGCTTCTCCATTTCCTCATTGTCTTGTTTAGCTCATCCGTACATTCTAATAACTATGCCTGTTATTATATTCTGAACCATCATGCTTTTGACTTTTTTCGAGTCAGGAATTTTTCAATCTATTAGGAGCCTTCTCATTGAAATGTTACTAATGCAGCTTGAAAATGAAGTGTCACAAGCTATTCGTTAAATGAGAATCACCTTGTGATCTGATTTGGTATCAGACATAAACAAATCTGCCTTGCATAAGTTTGAGGCAGATATTTTTCTAAGTTCTAAGATACTTTTCAAAAGTTTTAAGATATTTTAGTCTTATGTGAAGGCCACACCCTCCATTGTCCCATCATCATAATTGGTGTTTGACTTCATAACAAAGAAATTCAGTATTTGAAAATTCAGTTCAATGGCAGAAATTTCTTGTTTAGACATAACTAGTATCGTGATTAATCTATTATATGTTAAATGTCGATGACGTGGAGTTTAAGCTGTTTAGTTTTTAACAAGCAATTCAAGAATATTAAGTTGTTTAAGGTCATTTTTCAGGTCATTTGCAAGGTATATGTGTAGAAATGAAGATATTTCTAAAGCAAAGCTCATAATGCAGCAAACTTTGTCTCATGGTGCTCCGAGTCCCAAATTGTCCAAAATGTTAGAAGTGCTGCTTGATCATTTCAGTATGTGGCCTGTTATCTAAACTTTATTGTATTTTCCATAACATGCCGTTTTTAATATTTTAAAGTTCTGCTTATCAAATGTTAGAAGCATTGCTTGTCTCATGGTTTCAATATTGTATTCTTCATCAAATGCTGATTTTTGTAACAAATATTTGTCATCAAATGCTGATTTGGACTGCCTATTATTTAAATTTTAGACTATGTATGATTCAGAGTGTTAGCTTCCAGTTGCTGATAATTATATATCTGACTGCAGAAACAAATGATCCACAGAAATCAAGGGTTATCATTTTCTCAAATTTTAGGGGCAGTGTCAGGTGCCACCTTTTCTCTGCGTTTAAGTTGTTGTTATTTTATTGTTTCTGATTGCAATTTATATATAAAATGTGAAAAATATTCCTGGCTATAATTAAGCAAACATACAGGGACATAATGGATGCGTTAGCAAACATCGGCAACTTTGTTAGAGCTACGGAGTTTATTGGTCAAAGTTCAGGTTTGAAGCTCCACTCTTTATTTTGGCTTGTCTCCATTAAATATAATTTTTGATGTAATTTAGTTTTTTTGTCTCAATGAAATTTAGAATAAGTTGAAATTGTTGTTACTTGGGAAGTGATTGTTAGTGATCTTTTAAACTACTCATTGAACAGAAAGAAAGTTGTCTGGCATGTGGGCAAAACACATTGAAGTGTTTTTATGGTTATGACATTGACTTGCCTTCTCCTTTGAAGTGTTGTTTATGATTTGGTCTATTATTTGTCAATTATTGTGTGTTCGTTTTCTCTCTTTCTCTCTCCCTCTTTATCTCACTTTCTCTTCCATGTCCCTCTTGCTAGATCCTTGACCTCTCTTTTAATGAATTTATGTTCAAGGAAAAGAGAAGATTATTATTGTCAAGAGATCTTAGAAGATGTTGATCTCAATACTGTCCTAGATCTAAACAATTATGGCATAGCTAAGAATATATGTATGTCTTAGCTAACTTTAGTTCTTTCTTATAATCCATTAGCCTATAGTTATTGTTGAATTGATATAGATAGTCGGCCTATTCTCTAATAGCTCAAGCATTTGAGATCTAGAGGTTGCCTAACATGATATCAGAGCTCTGGTTTTAGAGACTTCTGAGTTTGAAACTTCCAATCCCTCCAACTCACTTATGTAGTGATTTGCAAGGTGCAACGTAAGGCTGCACCTATATGCTTCTCCCAGACTGTATTTTCCTGCCTCTCCATGTGCAGGAGATGTGGCTGCAAGTGAGGGAGGGCATTAGCTTCATATACATTGTCTGCTTATTCCCTAATAGCTTAAGCTTTTGGGGTTTAGTGGTTGCCTAACAATTATATGAGATTCAGTATCTAATTTCTTACAGGGAAAGCATTAAAAGGCCAGTCACAAAAAGTTCAACAAGCTGTTTTGGAGGTAAATATGTTGTTTTTATTTCTTTTCGTAGCACCTTTCATTGGCTTACTTAGATTTCCCACAGAAATTTCGTGCTGGTGGATACAATGTCATTGTTGCCACATCAATTGGCGAAGAGGGCCTGGATATCATGGAAGTTGATCTAGTTATATGCTTTGATGCTAATGTATCACCATTGAGAATGATTCAGCGCATGGGGAGAACTGGAAGGAAGCATGATGGAAGAGTTGATATCCTTTTCTCATATGAGTACTGCATGTTCTGTAGTTGGCTGTTGGTGAGATCAATGAACATGCAATGAACTTTTGCTTGTCCCCCACTTTTATCCAAGTTTTAGTATCTATCCACTTTCCATTTTTTTTCATTACACTTTCTTTCAATCACCTTTCGTTGCATTTGCAATAAATCTAAATCCTTGACAAGTCGTACTAGTTTTAGCCTGTGAAGGGTCAGAGTTGAAGGGTTACAAGCGTAAGCAAGGAAACAGTAAGAATATGATGAAACACATGCGAAATGGGGGGAGAAATAGCTTCAATTTCCATTCTAGTCCGAGGATGGTGGGATTTTCTAAGAAAGGCTGCATCTTTATGACTTTTAATGCTATAGTCTTGCATTTTAAACGCATTTGATTGTGTCATTATTTATTGCAGATCCCTCACATTTTCAAACCGGAGGTCCAGTTTGTTGAGTTTTCAATTGAACAATTCGTTCATCGTGGAAAGAAAGTGATAGATGATAACACTATTCAGACACCTGTTATTGCAGACAAATTAACTGTTGCTGAGACTACATTAATTGCCAAGTATTTTGAGCCCCATGAAATTACATGGAAACCATCTCTTATTGCCTTTCCTCACTTCCAAACATATCCTTCAAGAGTGTATAAAGTAATGCATTCACATCGGACGACAATGTTAATTGATATGATGCAATGTTTGCAAGGACTAACCTTTTCTAGGGACAGCAATATTTCCCTTCTTGAGGTTTGATTCAATCTATGTGGTTGAGTTGTTTGCCTTGCTGTGTTGTATGACATTTTCTTATGTTATTACTCAATGCTTTCCAGGATGAAATATGTTTAAAGAAGTGCTTGGGAGTTGACACTGCTGAACAACATGACAACAATGGAGAAGGTAGCTCAAAAAGGCTTTTATGAGAAGAAAATTGTTATTCCAAATTCTTCCATTTGTTTTAAGGCATTATTCAGATTATGTGCAAATAATTACTAAGGAAAAAGATTCTTTGCTACTAGGATTAGTTTCATCGTGTTGATTGGAGATCTGAGGTGCATTTACTTGTTTACTCTTGCTTTCAAGTCCCGCATCAAACTTATGCACATTTGCATGCTAATCAATTTGAGCTTAGCGAATGTAGTTTATTGTTCTTTTACTTTTTTTCAAGGTTCATTTGAGACAAGTGAGCATTTTGCTTCATTGCTAATAATTCTTCTACAAATAGGTCAGAAGTCCATTATGTTCAAGATCACCAACTCAATGTTCATTTTGTGTTTATAATATAAACTTTATATTACCTATTTTGTTATAATTTTAGTATTTCATCTTCAACTTTACCAAATGTTCAATGCTATATGCTTTCATTGTATCCATTTGAGTCCTCTTATTCTTTACTTTGTAGCTATAAATTTTCACACTTTTTGCTCCTCTGTATATGTGCATGCCTGTTAAACTTTATTCTAAAACTAATTCCTCTTAACGTTTTTCTTGCTTGATGATTGAAATAAAACCTTTTCTCTTCTGTATACTTTTCTTCATCTTCTGACAATAAAAGTAGTACTACGTCTATGAGGTTGGTTATCTTTTCTTGAGGTTAACTAACTCAAGGAATGAACTGAAACCATAAAAAATGTTCATACTCTACAACATTTTTGTACTGTAAATTGGTATGTGTAAGCATGCATGTGCTTATGTTCCCAATCTCAAGTCCTGATGCTGCACCTGCATTGGGGGATGGGGAGTGGGGTTAATTGAACATAAATTGTAGGAGGATTTTTTCTTGCTCAGTTTTGTGAACATAAAATATTATGGCCTAGTCAGCATGTTAAATAATAACAAACACTTGTCTTTTCTTTTCTGGATTGGGGGGCTGGGGGGGATTGAATGTGGAGAAGATGCTAAATCTTGAACATTTTGTTGCAGATTTTCTGAATCCTGACGATTCTGAAGTATCACCTACTGGGACATTGGAAACTGAGGAGAAGCATAACGAACTTAATTACCCTGTTGAAAATCCTTATGAGCACTCTTACCTCTTTGGTTCAGATGTTGTAACTGTTGATGCTTCCGGAAACGTCCTAATCATGGTTGTCCCTGTGTTTCCTTGGAAAGACTTATCGCATTCCATGTCAACAAGTGCAAGCATTATTAAGTTGGATTACTTGAAGCAAAATTCTTGCCATGCAAGGACTTCAGATGAAGACCACACAGACCTAACTACTGAAGCTGGTCCCTGTGGAGATCTGAAATCGACTCAGTTAACACGCATGAAGAATGAGATTTCACTTAAGTCTCGATGTTGTGATTCTGAAACCTGGATGGAGAAATCAGTCAGCAGGGTTGAAAAAATTCCTCAAACTCCAATTTTGAAGGGAAATTTGTCAAATCAAGGAGCTAGTGTCTCTGAGTCACCTGATGTTCTGGAAAGCAAGGCATCATTATTTCTGGCTGATGAAGACAATAATTTTTTCAGAGATGGTGAGCTCAGTCCACGGCTTACTAATTTAATCAAAAGTGGAGTTGTCCCAGAGTCTCCTATCCATAATAGTGGTTAGTAATGCAATTAGTAAGATTTTATCTTAATTCAAAATGTGATATGGTTTCCTAGGGATTGCTATTGTCCCCTAATATAAGATGATGCTTATATAAATGTGAATTATGCAGGACTATCAAATAACACAGATGAGTATCTAGAACCTGACCCTGTTTCACCTGCCCAATTACATACTGGAATACTACTGAAGTGTTCAAGTCCTGGGAAAAGTGAAAAAGTCGATATGAGAGGCAATGCCTGTGGAAGAAATGTCTCTGTTTCTCCTGTTGATAATGAAATTCAAACTCCCTTGCATAACAAGGGTGAAACTGCAAGCATAAGAGGATGTACCTCCACATCACCAATTATTGATAGAGCCCAAACTGTTTTAGCAGACCTTACAAACAATAGCTGTGGCAAAGATTGGCATTTAAGTTCTGGAGACAAGTCGGAAAGTGTAAAACAGGCACGCAAGTTTAGAAGGTTACGCAAAGTTGGGGATCATTGGAAAAGTAGGGGAGAAAGCATGACAAAAAATGGTGGGTCAACAGAAAACCCTGCCAGATCTTTTTCTAGAGCAGTTCCTCTCCATAATAAGCACGACAGAGGTATTATGAATATGAATTGAGTCTATTGAAATGTATCTAGACCAGATGTTTGTCCTTTCCAGTATTTTTTTTTATTTTATTTTTTTTTGGAAAGGGTCGTTTCCAGTATCGTTTATTTATTTGCTATTTATTTTTCTATTTTTGGAGTTCTGATGCTAACTAACTAGACTAGATCCTTCTCTCTATGACTAAAAGTCCAATCACACCAAAGACTTATACGAATGCTACCTGTTCAGCTTCCAATCTTTTTATGAGACCTAGTTACCAATATGTTTATTTTTTGGTTACATAGGTAAAAAGAAGTCAGTTGATGATGTAAGGGTCTTCATTGAGGAGGAAGCTGAGTAAGTTCATACATTTATGACATGTAGCTAAGTTATTTGCAAATTTTGTATAGTTGCATTTCCAGGTAAAAGCATAAGAAGAATATTTTCTGATTATTTAATTATTATTTTTTGTGGATAATAAGATGAAATTTTTGTTGAAAGTAATACTTGATGTGCTGCTACTCCAATGAAATTACTCAGGGTATCTTCAGAAGCTGATATTTCTGATGATGAGGAAGATGAACGAGACAACTACTCAAATGATAGTTTCATAGATGACAGGATAAATCCTACGGTTGCCGGTACTCAGTTTGCAACCGGTGGAATTGACATGATGGCAATATACAGGTCTTTCATCTCTCTCTCTCAGTGTATCCTTCACAAACCATTAGTGGTTTGACTGAACTATTTCTTTGCATACTGTAGGAACCTATGAACATGAGTAGTTGCCAAAAGTATTTTTGAAAGTTCATATTATTGAATATTCTACCATCTTGGAAAATCTAGTAGTGTAATGTGTATCCAACTTTTACTTTCTTTCACATAAAACATCGTTTTGTGATCAAGTGACATTTGAAAGAAAAAGCTGACACTGGTCCAAAGAGGTGCTTATTCCAAAGTTTTTGGTCTATTAAGAAACTTAGTATATAACATTCAATTGTCATAAGAAATTAGGCATAGTTTTACAAGAATAAAAATTATATGCAATTTATTATATTTGGCCCGTTATGATTTGATACTTCTGGTTTAATGAGCTTGGAAGGATTAGAATTTTTGTAATGATTTCATATTTATTACCATATAAATATAGTCTGATGAATCAATGACTGCCTTTCATTTTCAAAATTTAACAATCTACATTCTTAGTGGAAAATATGTTAGTTTTTCATAGATGGAAACTGTGGCTGAGTCGCTGATGTAGGAAGCCCACCATGGTGCAACTGATGGTTATTGGTATCTTTGTTCCTTTTTTAAAACTTATTTTGGTAACATATTGGTTCAGATATCATTATGTCAACGATTTTGATGGGTTGATGCCAAGAACCTAGCAAAAGATTTCAAAATTGATTTGCAGCCACTTTTAAGAATTTTTAAAAATCTAAGATGCATTTGGATGACTATTCAACCATATTGAGGTTCAAGTGAGATTAATCTTCCCCCTACCAGGGGTGGCGGTTGTCGTTTCTCGAAACTACTTTTTACAACTATTTTGTCACTTGGATATGTAAGCTGAAATTCTATTCTTAGTAAAATGATTTCCTAGTTGCAAACTGAAGTGACAGTTAAAGTTCATATGTCCCATATATTACCAGACCCCAATCCTCCTGCATTTCGCCTGTGAATTATGCCATCAATCTAGTTGCTTGGATTTATTTGTTTCATTGCTCTATGCTTTTTTTTTTTATTTATTTTTATATTTATTATCTCTTCTAGTTCTGTAACCTGTATGATTATGGTTCCGGATGGAGCATGTCCTCATATTTTTGCAAGTAAAAATTGAATGCTCTCTTATAATATCATCCTTACCTCCAGAGTTGCGGGCTTCTGAAATTCTTTAAAATAAAAAATTCTTCAATGTCTTGGAACAGGCGTTCATTGCTCACCCAATCACCCCTGCAGAGGCAGCCAAGCAGTTCTACCACATATTCACCTGATTCTGTGGCACCAACAATGAGGACAACTGAAACTGGAAGTTCTTGTGGGAAACCATTCTTCTCTCTCCAAACTCCTCAAAGCGATTGTACAAATCAGCCAAACAGGATGGATTCGAAGTCCTTCCAAATGAACTGTAACGCTGAAGGCACACCTTGTACAACTGGTGTTTCCCCAGGATATGAGATTGAAAGCCGAAAAAGAAAATTGGGTTCTCATCATTCAAGATCTGTTCCTGCAGTCAACTTGGAGCGAGAGTTCTCACTCCAGTCAGAGGCTGCAGGCAGAGACTTGCAGCACAATGATGCAAATGGGGACGTGCTTTATGATGATCTATTTTTTGAGGGCCTTGATCTTGACGCAGTGGAAGCGCAAGCTACATTGCTTCTTAAACAGAAATCAGAACTGCCAAGGCAGAAGCAGCAGATGGTTCCCAATATACACCCACAAAATCCTAGCCTACAATATTCTCCGACGTTTGATCTTGGAATATAAAATTTATGGAAAATATATATCTAAATGGTGCCCAGCAGAAGGATTGAACGAAATATGGTGACAGTTTCTGACAATTGAGATTGTTTATGCAAGATCAGTTGCAAGTTTTGAGGGTTTGATTGTTTTTTTTTCCCTTTATTGTTTTGAGAGATTAGTTAGATGCATTGGGATCTGCATCTTGTTGAGGGAAAACAGATGTAGTTTATAGGAAAGTGAGGCATGCAAATTCATGCAAGAAAGGGAAATGTATACATACATGTACATATGTATGAATGTAATATTTACATTCGTTCTATAAATAATCTTCAGATAAGAATTTCCGATGGCATCTTTGCGTATTTTTGGTAAAAATAACGTCTAACTAGGTATATTATCACCCCCATTGTATCTCCCAATCCTCAATCATCATTCCCTCTTCTTTTTTCTGATATTGATTCCCAAATTTTAACTTCTTTCCTCATTTTCCTACTAGACAAAATTGTGTGGGGACAGGTCCAGTGATGCATTGGATGGACTGATTCTACTTGTCCCTTTCTGGGTTTCATTAAGGATTTCCTGTGACATTGCCCCCTTTGATAAATTAGTATTCTACTTAGAAACAAATGGATGAAATCAAATTTTCATTATGGGTGTACTTACAACATGGCGCCATAACTAGACTTGGAAACCTATCCTGTGGAATTATTCCAAACCCAAACCCAACGTGTTACCTTATTGTGGTCAAATACATAAACCTAGGGGTGGGCATTTGATATAAAAAAATCCGCGTACTGACCAACCAAACAGATGGTTTGGTTAATTTAATTTTTCAAATTTAAAATTTTTCCCACCCGATGAAGCAAAAGTAATGTTCATTTAATAAAAGCGCATGTGAGTAGAAGTGCTTCCTACATTCCCAAATGAGTTGCTATTGGTGAAAAAAAAAATGTTGAGTATGTTTTAGTGTTTAAAGAAGTTGTCAAAGCCCTTGTTAGTAATTGGTTACAGGTTTCCGTTAAGTTGGCAGCTAGGTTCTTGGAATTAATTATGAAAAATCACAATGTAAAATCTATATATATAAAGCAAAAGGCAGAGAATGGTGAAACATTCAAAATACCAGAAAATGCCCTTGGTTAATACAAACATTAAGAATTAAAATTATTAATTAAATGAGGATAATATGGTAAATTCACACTTTTCATATTTAAAAAATTAAAGTTAAAAGAAAAATCAGATAATGGATCCTATTTTTATGGAGCATAACTATCCATTATCTTTTTTAATCCTAAAATAAATTTATTTTTTTATTTTTTTAAAAAGCCTCTTGTAGGCGCGGAAGCGCGTGCAGAGAGGCTAGTGTATATAAAGCAAAAGGCAGAGAATGGTGAAACATTCAAAATACCAGAAAATGCCCTTGGTTAATGCAAACATTAAAAATTGAAATTATTAATTAAATGAGGATAATATGGTAAATTCACACTTTTAGTGAGGATAATATGGTAAATTTACACTTTTTCATATTAAAAAAATTTAAAATTAAAAGAAAAATCAGATAATGGATTCTCTTTTTATGGAACACAATTACCCATTATCTTTTTAAATTCTAAAATAAATTTATTTTTTTCTTTTAAAAGCCTCTCGCAGGCGCAGAAGCGCATGCAAAGAGGCTAGTATATATATATATAAAATAAACTACAGTTGTAAGGGGAAAACGTTTACAGATTGGATGCAAAGAGCTACCACTGGTTTCTATTGTGCAATGCAAAGGTTTCTATTGTGCAATGCAAAGGTTTCTATATAGCGCGCGCACTTAGAGATATATATTTTATGTATTTGTCTTCAGAATTAAATTGAGTCCTAGTTCAATTATAATGAACATGTTTCGCTCGAAATCATTAGTCCCTCTAAAGTCTCTTATATTTCTCCATTTTCCTGTGTCACGTTTGCAAATGTTTTGATAGGGCATAACTGTTCTAGTAAGCTAAAATTTCCAGTCATGGGGTATTATGATGTTAACTTGAATAGGTTACTGACACTCAAGTTATATAGAGAGGTTCCATTTACAGGATACCAAAGTGGCTCACAATGTTGGAATTTGATCACCATCCCACGTTGTAGAAGATGTATCCAAGCTGCAGGTAGAGAGCTTCGCATACACTGCCCTTACATTAAAGAAGCCATGATTTGGTATGAAAGTTGCCTCATAAAATACTTAGATACATATTTCTTAGGTAGAAGTGACACAAATAATGTTCATGAGTTGTTGACCGCTTATGTTCTAAAGCTTCCCTTAATCCACCATTGTATATTTATGGAAAACTAGATCTTGTGGTATCAAATAAAGATTCAGGTCATGGGAAGCTAGATCTTGGGAAATCAAAGAAGGATTCAGTTTATGGTGCAGCTCAATGCACTGGTGACCTTTCTAGCATAGATTGCAAGAAATGTCTTGATGTTGCAATGAGTGAACTTCTTTGACAAATGCATGGAATGAGCGGTGGGCGTGCTTATTATGGGAGTTGTTATATTAGATTCGAAGTATACCCCTTTTAGGTGGTGCTTGTTTCACATTATGAGCTCTCCCTATGCAGGGGATGAGCTCTGTGCAGTGGATGAGAATGATGTATTCCAATTGCAGTATTTTGACATGTATGTTTGGTAATTGCTTTGTAATTTTTATTATCATTTTACTGTTTGGTTTAGGCAGCAATTGGAATCAAAATATGTCTTTTCCAATGAAAGACGTTGCCATTCTTACATTCCCAAAATTATTCATGCTTGCAATTTCGAAATGTTTTTGTTTGAATTTATAAAGGTGGTTATTTTGTCACAAAACACAAAAACAAATGCATTCGTAGGGGAGGGAATGGCAATCCTAGGGGGCGTCATGAATGTGGAGCTAACATTAGATTTTTTTTTTCTTTGTGGTGGTAGGGACATAGACACATTATTAGAACTTTTATAATATCATTACATATCGCTTGTGAAAGATTCGAACCTTTATGGCACCTTAATAGTATGTGTGAGAAACCCCCTCCCTCAACATCGCTTATATATATATATATATATATATAGATAAAGAGTTAACTGAAAAAGAGCCCCAAAACTTTGTGTTGGGCTAGAGTCCCAGTGAGCCAGGCTTGGATCCGTGCCTACGTTGAACAAACGTCGTTTTATAGTATGTGACAAACATGATGCAACAAGTGTCATCCAGGTCTGGCTCTAATCCTCTAATCTTAATGGATTAAACTAGGTGAGCAAAGTACCTGAGATGATTACTTGTCAAATTTAAGAATTACATCAATCATTTTATGTTATGCATGTTCAACGTATGATTTAAGTTCTACCAAAAAACAAACGTGTGAGTTAAAGAACTTTTAAAGAAAAGGGTTAAATGCCTTTTTGGTCACTAGGTTTTATATTAAAATTCAATTTGGTCACCAAAAAACAAAATTTAGCCAAATTGGTCACTGTGTTACCCAAATTTATTGACATTATGTTATCTTCTGTTAACTTCCGTTAAGTGCAATTTTTATTTTTATTTTTTTTTCATGAAGTACGTTTAGTCTTCTTTTTGAACGAGTTAGGGTATATTGTTATATTAGGATTTAACAAATTGAGGAAAACCTTGGGTTGAAATTGAAATTGTTAAGTATAAGGTCACAGATTGGATGCTATACTAAAGCATGAATAGATTGAGTGAGAACCGTATTGTGATTTCGAAGGGCAAGGAGATGTAATCAAGGTGATAGAGCACCAAAATGTATTGGTAAGTTGTTGATTTCATTTTAATTTGGTTCGGCTTTTTTATTTTCGTTGAGTTAGAGGAAGAAGATTGAAGGTGTTTCCTAAAAAAATTAAATAAAAACTGCACTTAACGGAAGATAACAGAACGTCTATAAATTGTAAACTCTGGAAAACACAGTGACCAATTTGACTAAATATTTTTCTCCGTGACCAAATTGAATTTTCGCATAAAACCAAGTGACCAAAAAATTATTTAACCCTAAAGAAAAATATGATACGAAACTCCCATTAGTATTAATCTCTACTATGACAACTCACATTAATTTTTGTTTTTTACTAAATACTTTTCTTGGTTTGTTCATTTTGATTGGATTTCTATTTTTTTTAATGACAGCGTTGTGTTCATAAGAAAGTCTAAGAATCTTAAGAAATTTTAAAACAATGAAATCTTAAAAATGAATTTTAAACTTTTAGAATTTGTAAAGCTTATTGTTTGACTAACCTATTCAATATAGAGTGAATGAAATATAAAAATTACAATTGTCTTGAGCAAGGTATTAATTGGTAAATGAGCGGGAGTGGTAGTGAAAATGACGGGGAAAGTGCTGGTGGCAATGGCAGGGTGGTTGCGGTTGTAACTGTAGTGGAAAAACAGTAATTTAAATGGGTCGGTAATTGTTGTAATTAGGGGTGGGCACGGTTTGGTTTGGACCGGTTTTTGCTTCAAATTAGAACCGATTTGGTACTATTTATCCAATTTGGTTCGGTTCGATTTTAATTAAAAAAAAAATTAAAACCTGTCCAGTTTGGGTTGAACCAATTCCAGTCCGATTTTATTTTGAACCGGATTATAAACAATATTTTTTAATACAATTTTCAACTGAAATTTCATTTTTTTGACTTGAAAATTAACAAATTATTCAATTTAATATAAAAATAAATATTAAAGTTAGAAAAGAGAGACATTTTGAAATTGAACTTGGATAAATATTAGTTATGAGATTAAAAATATAGCATTGAATATAAATAAATATTGAAATGATATATTTTTTAATTTGACCGGTTCGGTTTGGCCTGGTCCAATTTTTGAAGACAGAATCAAAACCAAAATCAGTCCAAATCGATCTGGTTCGGTTTTTAACCAGTTGTTGACTTTTTGGTCAATTCAGTTTTTTTCCAATTTGGTTTGCAGTTCGGCTCGGATTTCCGATTCGCCGGTTTGAATGCCCATCCCTAGTTGTAATGGTAGCGGCCATAATGTGGTGAGGATATTAGTGTTAGCCATGGCAATGTGCGGTGGTAATCTACCACTTTGATGTGTTGCGACAACGTGCCACCACCAGACTACTAAAACTTCGTAGAAAGAGAATATGAACATAATATGGACACCAATACGTCTAACTTCAAATCAAATGATGGCGAGCAGGTTAGGAATTGGTATGGCATAAGTTCTTTTCGAAGCCTTGCTTGATTAAGCATCTATTCTGAGCTGTTTGACACTCTCTTTTCCAAAGGAAACCATACCCCAAAGTTAACTGAAATTAAATACGCAACTAAAATTGACATCTTTGCATGGACAAGATCTTTTCACATTGAAGAAGACATTGATGAAGTGTTTCCATTCAAATTATAAAACTTCAACCAAACTTCAGAAACCTTAAGGGCAGTACAACTTTCTCTACATCTCTAGGGGTTAGACACATTTTTATACAAGCGCCAAGGATCTAACACATAACCCAGACACAAATGAGACGAAAACAGATGACTCATTACATGTATCTGAGTAAAGCTTAAACAAAAACGAGAGTAGAGGATTCAAATTCACTAGCCAGACATGAGAGACATGGCTCGTCTAAACTCCAGAGATTTGAGGGCTGACTCGGGGAAATGCTTATCAGGAACCCATAATTCTCCATTTTGGGGCAGCACTAGTTGTTGTTGGCTACTCTTCTTAGCTTCCTCACCACCTTTTGCAGATGGGACTTCTTGCTTTTTCTTCACAAATTCAAAAAACTCTGCTACTTGTCGAGCATACCTTTTTAAAAAGTCAAATTGCACAACAAATCAGTCCTGATATGCGATGTTATGTATTTAGGAGAGAAAAAAGAAAGTGCCAAAGCAGCACCACAGTAATGTTAACATATTATTAGTATCAGTTGACAAAAAGAATCAAGGTTGCAGAAAACTATTATTCTAGTGCCCTGACTTGACTATGTCGTCAATAAACCTGGCCAGGAGATAATTTTCTTAAGCATTAGCATAGTCCCCTTCCACAAGATAGTGGAAGCCTTTGGTCTAGTTAATACTGTAATTTCTTCACTAAAGACATCACTTTATCACAGACCACACGTAATGACAGCCAATTATTGGAATGTAATTAGCCTGACACAAGGAATGTGTTCAGACAACACTTTTAACGGACTTCATATCAAGATTTAAAGCAAATAGATAAATCCCACATTTGATAAACAAACCCATGCTCGATCATGTTTTTACATGCTGAGTAAAACTAACTTTGCAAGTCGGATTATTTGGGGACATGAAGCAATTAACTATCAATAACACAGAAGAAGAACGCAACTTTGAGGCATAATTATAGTAGTTATTCCAAACAACAGACCTCAAAATAAATCTACAACATAAGAGGACAAGAATCTAACAAACCATATTTTCAAACAAAGTCATAGAAATCAGTAAGATTCCTGTGCAAGATTTTTAAGGATAGTTATCTTACTGCCTCTTTGCTTCAATGTCTTTGCTAAAATCAATGTTGGGCTCGCAGTCAAGAACCAAAGCAGGAACCTGCAGACCATCAAAGAAAAATAAACCACATTCTCAAGATGAGATAACAGAAGGTCACCAAGATCAACATGATACCTTTTGAATACTTGAATGCATATGATCACCCTCCAAATAGAACACACGGTCCCTAATATCGGGAGGTAAAGAGCTGTCCATGTGTAAAGGAAGCTTACTAACAGACAAGACCCCATGATTACCACTCTGGAATGGGAAAAGCCAGCTTTCATGTTTTTCATGCAAGCCGTGGAGATACTCTAGGCTGACTCCACCTTCCTCGGCTCTCTGCCGTAGCTTCATTCTCTTGTGACAAGTATCAGGACTTGCTCTAAGATATATGAAACCATCAGGGATAAGCCCAGGCAAGGACGATACAACTGGGTCAAACCAGGAGTCATAGATGCTGATCTCCATCTCATTCATCCACTTCGCTTCATGAACAGCTCGCACAAAAACCTTTATTATGTAACAATGAGATAAATGCATCAGCCTTGAAACACTAAGTTGGGTTTTGCTTCCCCTCGAATGGGATCAACCAAACAGGATGAAAGAACTGAAAAGTTTCAATTGAATCAATTTTGGTCATTGCTAAATTTTGACGAGGTTAGAAAAATTCCAAAATCATTTTGAAACAAACAATTTTTTCTCTACTCCTAGTGAAGGAGGGTCTGTAGGTATATATAATGATAGAACAGAACAGAACAGAACAAACAGTGGAGTTAACAGAATGTCCCCAAACTTCATGGAAAATACTTAGAAACAAAGAAGCAGTATAATTTCAGTTTATCACACTGAGTCAAGAGAAACTGACTAATAACAAAATACTTACCATCCTATCACTAAAAACACTCCTTTCCATCAACCGGAGGGGCTTGATGCCACTAGAGGATTCTCTCTCCTGCATCAACCTTGTAACAAACACATAATTCTGGAAGGTATAGGCATACCTCTGCGGCTCAGCATAGAAAGCATTCAATATATTAAAATGGTCGGGTCCAACATCCTGCCACTTGTTAATAGGTTCTGGAACCACCTCAACAAGATCTCTTAGCTCAAGTGTTTCATTTGCTATTCTCTGAAGAAATGTTGTCTTTCCAACACTGATATTTCCCTCAACGCAGAAAGTAAGCCGCTTCTTCTGTGTATGCTTCACTTCTGAGTTCGAGCTGTCCTCCTTCAACTCTTCATCAACACTCTCTTTAATATAAGTAGTAATACTCTCAGCATGGTTTTTGTGGATGATTCCTACCGAACTTTGTAAATACTCAACCATCTTCCGACTAGCTTTTCCAAAGAACTGCAAGCAGCAGCCCAAAATTCCTTGTCATTATAGAGTCATAAGTGTCCATATATCAGCCATAATGTAACCATTCCATCTATTAAAGAAAGAGCCTTGGTTTCTTTTCAGTTTCCAAATCAATGCTACACAAAGTAATCATTCTAAATCACCATAATTTCTCTAACAATAGTCAGCAAAGGTTCAAATTATTTACTCAAATCATTTTCAGGCCACTGGGGTTGTAGACAACAAAGCATTAAATCCATACAACAAGAGAAAAAAAAAAGTACCTTTAGCTTAATAATTTACTTGTTCAACTAGAGGCCTTTTTATGGACAAATTTCAGTATATTACACAATACCTTATCTCTGTACAATTGCTTGAGCTCAGAAACTCCCCCAATACCCTTTTCCACCAGCTTTCTCAAGTTCCTCGGCCCCACGCCAGGAATCGCCAACAAGTCCGGGTTTCCAGCCAATAACCCGCCGCTCCCGGAACTCCTCTGCCGCCTATTACTCAACCTATTTGGCTTCTCCTCCGAACCCTTCTCAGCCTCTCCACCATCACTACCGCTCAAGTCCTCAAAACCCTCCAAACCCTTCTCTAAACCCTTGCAACCCTCTGCTGCCGAAACAGAAAATGACCCATCAGTGCTCGTGTGCAGCCACGCCGGCCGGGACCCCAAACCGGAGTCTTTGAGCACAAGCCAAGCCCGGGACGGGGCTCTGTCATGGACTGAGCAGCGGCAGAGGCCGCAGTTGATGCGATAGGGGATATTGTAAGTGGGTTTGCTGTGAACAGTAGCGGCGAGTGCTGAGCCGCCGCGAAAAGCTGTAGCTGCAGTGTGCATTCTTGAAGGGTTATCGGTTGAGCCCTTGAAAGCTTTTGATAGAATGCTTGAGGCCAAGGGGAGAGAGGAAAGAGGAGCCTTAGCCGAAGTGCACAGAATGGGGCCTGAGGGGCTTATGCGGAGCAGTTTCTGCATCACTGCTAAGCATTTCAGAGACCCTTTTGGATATTTTGTTTCTCTGTTTCACTGTGTTCTTTGTTTTGGGTGTGAGAGTGTCAGAGAAAGAAGGAAATAGAGAGAGAAGGGCTTTGAGGGTTTTTGAAACTGAGAATTGGGGAATTTTTTAGGGTTTTTTTAATTTATAGTTTTGTTTGCAGTCATTGATTACTGATGGGAAGGGGCTTTGTCTTTTGATTGGGGCTGTAGGCTGCGTCACGGATTTAGGGTTTTAGCAGCTCACAGACATATTCTTTTCTTTTCTTTCTTAAAAGGAGGGAAGAGAGACCGAGAGACCATGGACACAGATTTTTAAAGTCCGTATTTCCGTAAATGAAGGAGAGATTGTCTCATGCGGTAACGCTTATTTTTACCCAAATTTATTCCTCTAGCTGTGATTTTGACACGTAGGTGATGGAAATGCATCCAAAATTCGAAATTTACCAGAATAATGATATGAACAACGATTTCTTTGTGGGCCCCTTTAGACGGAAGGATTTGAATTTGCATATGTTAGGCAAAACAAGTTGAAGTTAAAAGAGTTCACTTGAGAGGATTGATCCGTACAAACACTTTTTCTGTACAAGTGATAGTTTAAAAGAGGGAGCGAGTTCAAATCATACCTTTTCTTCTTCACTGAGTTAGACTTCGTTAATCATAAACAAGCACTTTAATTATACAAGTTTGTGTTAAGAGTGATACGAAAACTGGGACCACATCCTATATTCTCACATAAACCATATAACATTCCTAAACTATTGAACCTTCGAATCAAAAGTTTCACTTGAACCAAAGTCAAAACCATTGACCTGATTTTGTATAGCTAAAACCTTTGGACGAAAGAACAAATGAAAGGATCATTGTATAAGATTAGTTACAGATGGCTAACTAGATTAGTTACAGATGGCTAACTAACTAACAAACGAGTTACTGCCTTTAGCCCCCCTCAAGCTGAAGGGAGGAGAACGCACTGTGAGCTTGGTGCGAAGAAGAGAATGTCTGACAGCAGATAAAGGTTTGGTAAAGATATCAGCAAGCTGATGTTCAGAGGAAACAAATTTAACAGACAAGAACCGGTGTTGAACCAACTCCCTTGTAAAGTGATAATCAACCTCCACATGTTTAGTCCGGGCACTAAACACTGGATTGGAAGCAAGATGAATAGCAGATTGATTGTCACACCAGAGAAAGGGAAGAGAAGGTAACTGAAAACCAATGTCTTTGAATAACTTGGACAAATAGAGCAACTCAGCAACAGTCATAGCCAGACCACGATACTCAGCTTCAGTAGAACTACGAGACACTGTCGGTTGTTTCTTAGCTGACCAGGAAATTAAATTTGAACCAAGAAAGATACACCAGCCACTGGTAGACCTCCGATCAATAGGACAACCAGCCCAATCAGCATCCGTGAAGGCTTGCAAACCAAGAGATCCCTTAGTAAACCAGACCCCCTTGTCAATAGTGCCTTTGAGATAACGAAGAATTCGTTTAACAGCACCCAAGTGATTTGAACGAGGCTGATGCAAGTGCTGACAAACAAGATTAACAGCATATGATAGGTCTGGTCTAGTCCAAGTAAGATATTGAAGGGCACCCACAGTAGAGCGATAGAAAGTAACATCTTCAAGAATATCCCCCGAATTATCCAACTTGTAAGAACCAAGGGGAGTAGAACAAGAACTAGCCCCAAGAAAATCTGTCTTCTTGAGAAGATCACAGGCATATTTTGTTTGAGAAAGAAACATACCTTGGGCAGATCGTGTGACCTCCAAGCCAAGGAAATAGTGTAAGGGACCAAGATCCTTAACTGGGAATTTGGCACTGAGATGAGAAATAAGAGAGGTACAAGCTGTGTTGCAGTTTCCAGTGACCAAAATATCATCAACATAGACCAAAACAAGAACAAGAGAAGCACCACTTGACTTAATGAAAAGAGAAGAATCTGCCTGAGAAGAACGAAACCCCAGAGAAACCAATGCTTTGAACAATTCATCATACCATGCCCTAGGGGCCTGTTTTAAACCATACAAGGATCTATTGAGCTGACAAACAAAATGAGGCCTGATAGGATCGGCAAAACCAGGTGGTTGAGACATAAAAACATTTTCCTTCAAAAAACCATGAAGGAAAGCATTACTCACATCCAATTGATTTAAGAACCAATCATATTGGACTGCCAAAGAAAGAAGAAGTCTGATCGTAGTAGGTTTAGCCACAGGGCTGAAAGTTTCATGAAAATCCAAGCCTTCGCGCTGATGATACCCCTTAGCAACCAAACGAGCGTTGAATTTGTCAACAGTACCATCAGGTTTAAATTTAGTGCGAAAAACCCACTTAGAACCAACCAAATTCTGAGCTGGAGATGGAGGGACCAAAGTCCAAGTTTTGGTTTGTTCCAAAGCAGCAAGTTCACTCTTCATGGCCTCAACCCACACTGAATGTTTAGCAGCCTGTTTATAGGTAGTGGGAGTGGGAGGAAGAAGGGCAGTAGAATGTAAAGAAGAAGGCAAGGGATGCTTAGTGGCTGTAAGAGCTTTAGGTTTAAAAATACCATGCTTTGATCGAGTGATCATAGGATGAGTGTTTTGAACAGGGATAGAAGAAGAAGGAACAGAGGAGGAAGATTGAGAAGGGGGAGAAACATATGGCACAGAAGAGGGAGGAAGGAAGGAGGAGAAGGACGATAAAGGAGACTGTGAAGGAGAAGAAGTGACCACAGGAAAAGTAAGAGGAATGATAGGAAAATGGGAAGAAATAGAATCAGAAGAGGAAGAAGAAACAGTAGCATGAAAAGGGAAAATAGATTCATGAAAAGTAACATGTCTAGACACATAAAGGCGATTAGTAACAGGATCAAGACAACGATACCCAGAATGATTAAGACTGTAACCCAGAAACACACAAGATAAACTCTTGGGATGTAACTTGGATGGACTATAAGGTTTTAACCAAGGAAAACATTGGCAACCAAAAATTTTAAGTGAATGATAATTGGGTTTGGAGTGAAAGAGGAGTTCAAAAGGAGAGAGGTGAGATGAGGTAAAAGGTAGGCGGTTGATAAGGTAGAGGGCAGTGAGAAAGGCATCAACCCAAAACTGAAAAGGAACTTTGGAAGCAGCTAACAAAGTTCTAGCTAATTCAACTATGTGTCTATGTTTTCGCTCTGCAGCACCATTCTGCTCAGGAGTGTGAGGGCAGCTTAATTGATGAACAATTCCCTCTTGATTAAGAAACTGCTGAAAACTAGAACTTAAGAATTCCCCACCAGAATCACTCCTGAGTATCTTGATTTTAGAGTCTAACAGGTTTTCCATTTTGGCCTTAAAAGTCTTGAAAATACCAAAAACATCGGATTTGAACTTCATAGGGTAAATCCAAGCATACTTGGTAAAATCATCCAAGAAAAGAACATAGTATTTATTTCCCGAAACAGAATGTACAGGACTAGGACCCCAGACATCACTATGTAACAATTCCAAAGGCTTGGTAGTCTTAGAGCCTGAACCATGAAATGGAAGTTTGGATGCCTTTCCTAGCTTACAAGCAGAACAGAGTACATTTGTAGCAAAGGAACCAGATAAAGGGAGGTTATTATGACTAACGACTTGCCTAAAAACAGAAGTATGAGGATGACCTAATCTCTGATGCCAAGTGAGCAAATCACATTTATTTACCATAAAGGAAGAAGCAGAGCAACTGGTCTTGGCAGCAACAGAGTCAACACCAGCAGTCAACTGGTACATACCCTCCTTAAGTGGACTGTGGTAAAGCATCCTCTGTGTAACCAGATCCTTTATGACAAATTCAGAAGGATAGAGAGTTAGAGAACATTGATTATCCTCTAAGAACTTCTGAACCGATAGTAAATTCTGAGTAATATGAGGAACATGTAAAATATTCCTAAGAGAAAAATCAGCAGAAGGAGTGGTTAGAACAGAAGAACCAATATGCGATATAGGTAAGCAGTTACCATCTCCAACTTGCAAAGAATCAGGACCCGAGTAAGGAACAGAATTTTGAAAATGACTGTTATCAGCAGTAACATGAGCGGTAGCCCCAGTGTCCATGATCCAAGAGGTAGAAGGAGGCTGGGACTGTGGATTGACATAATAGCCTGAGTACTGAGGCGAGGACTGTGAAGAGGAAGTCTGATTTAGAAGACGACCTAGCTTCCTGCAAGTGGCAGCGCCATGGCCACGCTTGTTACAGAATTGACAAACAATAACTCCATGAGAGGAATGGGAAGCATTAGAAGAAAATGGAGAAGAATGTGAGCCGGAGGAAGAGCCGCCATGGTGTTAGAAATGTGCCCTAAGAGCCAATACATTTGATGTAATCTCCTTAGAATACATTTCGTATATGATATATAAAGGGCAAACTTAATTTGTTATCTTTTATATCGTCTAAAGAAACAAATGTCCAGGGTATGCTAAATAAGAGATAAAGTAATCTAAAGAAGATTAGATTCATGAGACCTTTAATCTCTAACTGTAGCATCCCAAAATGTTCCTAATCATAGGTTATCAAATGGGCATTGATAAACCGTCAAGATTAGCGGATATTATGTATGCTCAATTGGGAGGATGGTTAGTCTCAAACCATTTGTGTAGTTGACACTAATACAAGTATGTGGGTGCTCATTAGTGAATGAGTACACTGAACGCGATCAACTGTAGTTCTCATATGGAGTATTTGTCTACATGTCAAATGAGAACTCATAGTTGCAATAATGCAAATTAGTCCTTAGACCTGAGGCATCATGGTTGTC